TTGGAGGGTTCAGGTGGATGTTTCCTATCATGAGCCTCCTGACCTCCTGATCTATCCCTAGCATGCTAAACAGATGCTTGGTTTTCAAAGTTGAGTTTTGTATAGATGAAATTTGAAAACTTTTTTTTCCTGATATGTTCTGTCACAGGACTGCTTTGTTTTAACCTCTGGGGTCATGCTAGAATATGAAGGAGAGGGGGTATTTTCTAATGGCTGCAGGGAGTGAGCCAGTGGATATGTGTCAGGGTTCCACCTCTACTTCCACTTTTTAGTCCCTTTGAGACAGAATCTCCTACCCACCAGTTGGCTTTGAAACTCCAGATCCTTCTTCCTCAGCCTCCCAAGTTCTGAGATTAAAGGTGTGTGCCATGTTCGTCCCATAATATAAAATACAGTGCAACTTTAAAGCCCCACAATTTAAAACTTTACAATGGTCTAGAAGTCTAAGTTCTCTTCAGGAATCCAAAGTTTCTTAACTATGTGCTCCTATAAAGTAAAAAAAAAAAAATATATGGTTTCTCATTCCAAGAGGAAGGAATCAGGACACAGAATCAGATTAAAAGAAAACCCAGATGTAACAATGTGAGCTCGATGTTCAATATCTGGGACTCATTCTTGATCTTCTGGGTTCCATAAGAGTTGAGCATCCCCACTTCTCCAGTTCAGCAATATGTAACACACATGAAACTTTTCTCTTAGGCTCAGGCCATCTCCACTCAATACCTGCTGGCTGTCCTTAGAAGATGTCCCATGGTCCTGGCATCTCCAATATCCTGGGGTCTCCACTGCAACTGAAGCTGCCCTTTTGACAGCCTCATGGCCTCTCTTCACAGACTCTCACTGTGGCACAAGGTGTCAAGCTATGTTGCAGGTTACCCTGCTTGGACACTCCTTGCTGGAGGGGGTGAGAAGATGCAGCACCAATGACTCAGGCACCTGGAGTCAGTAAATAGCAGAGCATGCTGCAGACTCATTTATTAAGTAAGTTAGACTTGCCTTTATACCCCCTCCCAAGGTCCTATTGGCTCAGGCAGCTGACTCTGCTTCATTGTCCTTTCCTCATTGGTGTCTCTGGGTCAGGTGTCTCTTCCTCAGCTGTCTCTGGATGTTGAGGCTGGCCTGGCAGCTTGGCTCAGGGAGGAAGTGCCTGCTGTGCATGAATGCACATGAGCATGCTGGCTGGCCTGGCCACTGGGGCCAGGGCGATTGCGGCTTGGGTAGGCTGGCCACAGTTTCTCCTACAAAGCTTCAGCTTCCCCCAAGACCCCTCCAGTTCTTCAGATTTCATGCCACTAAAACTAGTGTCACATGGGAGATCTTGCTTCCAGCTTTAGATGCAACCTTAACCGCCTCTGGACCACATTTTCAGTATGCTGACCATGATGCAATCCCTTCCAGAAGGGTTCACACTAGTGATGCTTTTCTTTTACTAATCATAGCCGATGCTTCAGCCTCAACTAACCATAACCCATTGTCCCCATAGGGCAAAGGTTTCACTTCTATAGATTTTTTAATTCAAAATGTCATAGAAAAACTCCTAACGGAGTGTTAATTTCCCTCTGAAACTTCAAAAGCTAGAATTGGTTATCTGTGCTGCTCTTAGTAATACCTTCCAACTTCTCTCTCTTAGTTCATTAAACTCCAAGCACTCTATGGCTTTTCCAGCTCAACATTTCAAATACTTCTACAGTCTTCCCTCCAAAACAAAAAGGTCAGGCATGGCAACACCCCACTCCTTGTAATAATTTCTGTTTAAGTTTGCTTACTTTTGCTATAGTAAACATCTTGGCCAAAACCAACTTGGTGTGTGTCGAGGCAGGGGCAGTATTTCAACCTTCAGGGTATAGTACTTTATTGAGGGAAACCAGTGCAGGAATTCAAATAGAAATTGAAGTAGAAATAATGAAGCAATGATGCCTAGTAGCTTGTTCCCTTTGGCTTGCTCGGCTTGCTTTCTTATTCATCCCAAATCCACCTGTCTATGGATAGCACCACCTACAGTGGGCTAGGCCTTCCCACATCAATTAGCAACTAAGAACATGCCCCACATACATGTCTACAGGCCAATACAACTGAAGTAACATTGCAATTGAGATTCTCTCCTCTATCTCTGGACTGTGTCAGAGGGGACCTGCCCACAGTCAGGACACAATACTCTGAGATGCCAGGAAGCCTTTTCTACACGATCCAGGGCTATTGTGGCTTTGAGACCAGAAGAGTCAGGAAAGGGCATGACAGGAGCTCAGCAGAGTTCTCTTAATAGATATGTCACCTGCTAAACCCAGGCCACTGAGTCCTTAGAGACAAATTCCATGACACTCTGTTTACAGGAAAAATCTCCTGGGGGTCTTGCATTAGCCAAAGGCCAGCATGCTGTTTGTTGTCACTCTAGGTTTTAGTGTGCATATGTTACCTTCCTTGCTCTTTAGGAACCCATTTGGATTGTCTAGTAGGCCCTGGATCTTGTGGGCATCCTGTCTGGTCATGACTGGAAAAGTAATAAGGGGTTAAAGTAGTCTTTAATTATGTTGACCACCAATGTTACTGATATTATAATTCAAAAATAAAGGGAGGGGGGATATTCTGCTGTCTGCTTTGGTATATTTGGTGGCTTTGTTATTAGGCACTATCATCTATTTATCATTTGTGCCTATCGTGACTAGCTAATTGATTACCAACTATCTAAATCTACCAGATATCTATATATTTAATATAGTATCTAGAATATTTACCTATCATCCACCTATCTATTATCCTATTTATGAATCTATCAATCATCAATTAACTATGTATTTATATATAATATCTATCATTATATTATCAACTTTCATACCTATCAATCCTTGTTATTAATGATCCTATTTATTATCAGTAATATTCATCCATCTAGTCATTTATCCAACCTCTGCTGCTAGCTGTCTGGAAGAACCTTCAGTTTGCTCCCTGCAGTAGCCCAGGCTTTACTACATGGCAGGTTCTGGGTTATTACTATTGAATTATGGAATGATCTGTCTATAATTGCATAATTGTAATGTAAGGAGTTGGTGACATCAGGAACAATGGGCACCCCTTATTCTTGCCATTCTCCTTCACCTTTATAATTAAAAGGTGGCAAGACTTTCTTCATGGTGGAGGAAAAAAAACAGCAGCAGGAACTGGGCAGCTGTAAACGGCTGTTAGAAGGAATGTGGGCATCTGAGGGGACTGAGAACAGCAGTTCTTCTCTATTATTTCCTGTTTGCAGGAAACTTTCAAATACCAGAAATTTTTGGCTGTGGCCTTGAAGGTTTAAAGTCTAAAATGACTACTAAACAAGGGAGTTTTGTAAGATAGTTCACCACCTGCAAGAGCTTCTAGGGCTGAAGAAGCAGTATAGTTGCACTGCAGGGTGTGGAGGTGGGCGAGGGTTGGGTCCAGGGCTTCCTCACACCCAAACATGGAGATGTTCTGATCCCTGACACACAATGGTGTGGTCTTTGCATGTCTTCCCATGTATGTCCAATCATCTATAGATGATATATCTCACTGACTTAAATGTCAAGGCCGCATGGATTGTTGTGATGTTGTCTCTCTTGCTTGGGGAATGGTGGCAGGATGTTTGTGCAGTAGAGAAGCAATTGTAACCCTCTGATCTGTGGTTGTCTCTGTGGATGTTGAACCTGTGGATGTAGAGGGCTGCTGTAGAGTAGCCTCCCTTGTCTCTGAATCAGTATCCCGTGGCTTGAAAACAGTAAGTGGAAAATTCCGGAAATTAATAGTTATCGAATTTCGAATAGGTGTTATTGTAGTATATTATTATAACTATTCTACTTTACCATTCAATATTCATTTCTTCTTGGTCCTACTTTATAAATTGATTTGTCTAAGCATGCATGCATATAAAAACATAATTTATACAGGGTTTAGTACTACCTACAGCTTAAGGCATACATCTTTTTCAGATTATGGGTGGGGACATGGTCCTACTATGGTTTAGAACCATAGGAAAGTATTCTTCTATAGTTCTGGAGCCAGAAATCCAAGATCAAGCAGTCAGAGAGTCTATTAAACTACAGAAGATCCTTCCCAGCTTCTTCAAGTTCCATGAGGTGCTAGTGGCCCTTAGAGTCCCATACTTTATAGCCATTTCTTTGCATCTCTATCTGGGTCCTTACGTGACATCTCCCATGAGCCATCATGTCTTTTTTCTGAGTGTGCCTGTCTGGTTGTCTCCTTTTCCTTATGAGCCACAAGTCATAATGACTCCCAAAGACTTAGCAATAACCTCATCTTAGCTTGGTTGAGCCTGCAAAGATTCTACTTCCACCCAGGATCTCATTCACAAAAACTTTTAGAGGACTCAGTTTAGTATGGTCACCCATGCTCTAATGACCATGCTGGCTTTCCTAGTTAGCACTTGGCTATATACCCTTGATTATACTCTTGGTTCTTCAGGGACCCCCAATGACTCCTAAACTCAACTCTCCATCCAACTTATGTAACCGAGTTCAGATACTCCTCACCTTCCATTGGGCTTATAGTCTGCTAAACATGGGTTGAATGGTGCATTGAAACACACTGAATATACCTCTTTGACTGAATGTCTCAGTACAGCAACAGTATGATCTACAACACCCTGTCGTGGAAAGCCTTGGTTGCTTTCATCCTCAGTGTGGGCCTTCTTCTACCCAGTCTTCTAAGAGATGGAATATATTTCCCTATATCCCTAGTCAGTGAAGAAAATAAACTAAAATTCTTTGTAGGTCGGGGATCACTGGTGGTGGGTTTACTGTGGGAAGATTAAATGGCTCAGGCTGTAACTAGTAGACTTAGCTTCCAGCCTGTCTTGGGCCTTTCTACCTGGGTGACTTTGGAAAAACCTTCTTCTCCATGTCTGAGTCTTGGTCCCTTCACCAACAAGTTCAGGAGAGAGAGTGAGGGGACCCTAAGGTCAGTTTTAGTTTGGCAGGATCAACAGAACTAAAATGAAGGAAACGGTACACTTTCTAAAATCTCTTTAAGGGTGCTCATGGTTTTTGAATTTAAAACCCTTATGTTGGTTCATAGAGACATACCATCCAAATAGCATGACTGTCTTCAGTTGTTTTTCCAATTTACAAAGCAGAGATTAATTCACAGTATAACACAGTCAAAGTCAAAACGCCAATCAAGACACAAAAAGAACAGGATTCTTCTGCTCCTAGTTATAGAAGCAGCCGAGTGAAGCAGTCACAACTGGAATGGAACCCTCTGCAGTGTGGTTGGGTGAACACATGGAGAGAGGAACACAGATGCTGTGGATCTGGGCTCCAGATGTTCCAGGGGCTGTGACAACACTGTCTGAACCTCTGGGGCTCAGACTGCCTGATAGGAGCTCCAAGAGGGGACTTCTACAGGCTTTGTCAACAAGCTGGTAAGGCCCATGAGACTCCCAGGCAGCCGAGCAGCAGATGGAGGCTGTGTTCCCACACAGTTCCCTCCAGCTCTAGATTCACGTGTGAAATGCCAGCATTGTGGGCCTGTCTCCTTCCTCAGACTCCCGAGACCGCCTGCCAGCAAGTACTCTGTCCCTACCTATCCCAGCTGACCCTCTGCTCCTCTTACTTGGCCCCACAGGAGCAGCTGAGAAGCACTGGGAATTTGCTGTGGGATGAAGGCTGGACATGGTGATCTCCCATGTCTCAGCCTGAAGATAGGCCACGTATGAGAAGCTCCCTCTGGGATGCACATCTGAGGTAATTTCTTCTCATTCTGAGAATATTTGGGAATGTTGACAGAAAAGCAAAAACAACTTGTACGCCTGCCTAGTTTGGGTTACTTTCTCATCATTCCATCATGTGTGCCCTATTGAAAGGCCTCCTGTTTTGACTTAATTTATTTTTATTATTGTATTTATGTATTTGTTTATTATTATGTTTCATCAATATGGGTAAAACAGAAAGGCTTCTATGCATCTAAGTCTTATACAACTGCAACACAAATTCAAACAAAATTTTCAATATAATGCAAAGGAAAACCTAGAAACAAATAAAATTCATGATTGCGCTGTTGGCCATTTGACACTTTGTGGAGGGGAGATCGAGAGCAATTCCTTTGCATGACCAGTCGTTATCTTGACAGATTAATTCTTTTATCAGTGAACTCTTAGCATAAAATTGTTAGCAGTCTTTTTTAAAGCATCCCCCAAGATTCTTCTTTGAATATTGGATGCTGTCCTCAGGACTGATGGAGAGCCACTAGTCGGTATACACCAAGATTGAGTCCAAACAGCACATCTGCCCTGGAAACAAGCTACCAATGCTAAGCTTGGCACACATCAGCTCTGTGAGGTGGACCTTACTTTCCCTCACTTTCCTCCCCTTGAATCAAGCGCAAAACATTTGCTTATGCAGTACTTACAAATGAAGAATATGGTCTCTGTTATTTAACCACCGGTCCCTAAGATGATGATGATGATGATGATGATGATAATAATAATAATAATAATAATACAGATTCATAGGCCTGTATCCAAGATGTAGGGTGATTTTATGGGGTGTTAAGAAAGAAACACTGCTGCCAATTAAAATGCCAAACACCACCAATTATAAAATGTGGAAAAAACCCACACATTTGAATCAAATCTGCAGAGTAACTTCGACAAATATTTGTAGAGCTAGCATTTTCAAGTGTTTATGTACAGTAATTCATTTAATCCTTGCTGCGCCCAGTGAGGAAATGGATCAGCCAGAGGAGGCTAGAGTTTTCTACAGTGACAAACACCACCCAAATCTCCATGGCTTAACTCAACAAATGTTTATTTCTTGTGCATGTTAAGTCGTTTGTGGGTCTGGGCAATGATCCAGGCCTGTGCAAATGTAGGCTATGTTTTCCAGGCTGCCCAGTGCACATCTCCTCCAGATAACTTTTGCTTCCACAATTACCTTCCTAGGGAAAGGGAATGTGCAGAATTCTGTACCAGTTCTTAAATGTTTCTCCCCAAATCGTATCTTGGGATATTGGACTGGCCAAAGCATTTCCAATGGCCACACCCACCTTCAAGGGACAAGTACCTAGACATTGTGAACTAGAAGTCTTGAAGATTTTTGGTGGAGGCATAGTTGTTCCCCTTCCCCATTCTGCTGCATGGAATCTTGTGTCCTGTGTCCCTTCAATTCAAAATCAAAGAAAGCATGAAAGTTCTCAGAGGTAGAGATGGTTAAGCCAAGCCCTTCTGTGGAGACAGGGGCCCTGTGGCCAGCCTGTCACACACAGTGATAACACACTGTTGCCATGACAAAGAGCTTCTTAGGTGGCAATGTCTGGCCCCTCTGCCTTGGTTTCTTCTGCACCTTGTAGCATCTGGCAGAGCACTGTCAATAAAGACCTTATCAATAGTGAGGCATCAATAGCCACCCATGAGTTTAACTGCAGAGACAAATATTTGTGAATACTGGCCAGCCACGTTCCCATGATCCTCACCCCAGTCCCGTGAGACAGCTGGCACTCTTCTCATTTGCAGGCGGACAAATTGAAGTGCAGCTAGATTAAATGGCTTGCCAGACTGTGTGTAACTTGATCAATTCATTTATTCAACACATTTTAGACTTTATGAGGAAGGAGTTGCAATGCTGGAAAGAGTTCCAGTCAAGTCTGCTGATTGATGGGCAGTAAATACAGGGCTTGCATGAGCATGGGCACTTCTGTAGTCGACCTGAACAAGGCCAGCCAGGGGACAGGTTAGGATCAATCTGAACTGGAACAGTGTGCAGATTTGGGATGCAGAGCAAAACATGTATATGCATATACATGTATGCCTGCTTGTGTATATATACATGAGACTGTATATTTGTGTATACAAATGCACCTATATGTGTGTGTGGTATGTACATACATGTTTGTGCATATACATGGGTTCCTGTATATGTCTGTATGCATATATTTGTACATGTATGCATTCAGAGATTCGTACACATGTATGTGTATGATGCATGTGTACCTACATACATATGTGTGCCTGAATTAACATGAAGATATGTGCATGCTTATATGTGTATGGGAATATATATATATATATATATATATATATATATATGTGTGTGTGTGTGTGTGTGTGTGTGTGTGTGTGTGTGTGTGTGTCAGCATGCATGCATCTTTTTGTGTGTATGTACTTGCTTGGATGCCTATGTGTATGTTATATACCTGTGTGCCTCCGTGTATGTATGTACAAATATGTGAGAATGCATATATATGCTTGTGTGTATAGGTGTAGAGAGAGACATAATTGCGGGGTGGGAGGGATCACAAGGCCATCTAACCTCATCCCCTCACTGATGACTATCCTGCAGGAACCCACTGCTCTCTGACTGTCTCTGTATCTCCTCAGATCTGCTCAACGGCTGGAATACAGCCGGCCCAGGAAGCACCATGACTGAGATGTTTGGCTTTTTGCTTTGACAGTCTGAACATGATAGATGGGATGAGTAGAACTCTGGCCAGGTGAGGGCAAAGCAAACCAAGAAAAACAATTACTCAGCGTGGGCATCAAGCCCTGTAACCACCTGGAGGACCAAGATGAGCTACAAATTCGTGCAGGGTTGGGGGAAGGGGGAAGGGGGAGGACGGATTTCTCAAAATCAAGTAATAAATTGGAGAAATTAGGACCGCTAAGATCCTGTGGTGGTTCACCATGGTTCCTGCCAGCAGTGATCAGCTATTGCTCTGCACTTTGCTGAGCATATGGAGGGAGTGGATCTTGACTGGATTCCAGACATCCAAAAGTTAAATTGATGGATCCTGCCATGAGGGGTGCTAGCTAATGGAAACCAGGGAATGGGGCCTGCACTATGTTCCTTCTGCCTTGTTTTAGAAGAGTTTGCTTCTCAGACCTAACCAAAATGGTGCTGTGTTTGACCTATTTCTTTGTTCTTTCCCTCTGGGGATGATTTGGTGCAGACTTGCTTCTGGTTTGTGGTTCCAGTCCACTGGGCCCATCAGTTTATTCAGCTGACACAGGAGAAAGTGGCAGCAGTGTGATTGCAGGAAAACTGCTGGCATCTTCTCCTGAAGGGCCCAGTGAACTGGTGGATCGACATCGTGTTGCCATTCTTGAATTTCAGCTCTGGGCCACCTCTGTCCTGACTGGAAGATGCAGTGCCCCCGGCAACTCACAGGGGTCATTCCAGGCTCTGTATCTTCTCACTATAGGCCTCAGGATAGCAGAGGCCCACTGTGACATGGCCACTTGCTCAACCTGAGTGCTCATGGACCAGTGAGTGGAAGGCAGAGGAGAAGGATGCTTAGATAGTGGTTGCAGTTTTCTACCTGCCTTGGCTTTCTTTCATTTGGGAAAACATGAAGTGATGAGGTTGCTGGTAGCTCAGCCCAAGACCTTGCTGTTAGGTCTCAGAACCCCCCTCTCCCTCAACAAATGGCTAACTGAGGTGCCAATTAACATATCAAAACTGCCACTCTCCCAGCAGCAGCATTCAGTCCCTGTGGCTCCTCCCAGGAGTTTTGACCCCGCCCCAGGGGCTGGGCTTCCGGTCCCTAGATCCCCCAGGCTTATCTGTATGTAACTCAGTCATTTTGGTTGTGCCTGTCTCTTGGCCTCTTGGCCTCTTGGCCCCGGCCACCTATCTTGGCCAGTGGCTCCTCTCTTGCTCTCTTTCCTCACCTCTAGCCTGCTGGCCATGTTCAGCCTGGACTCTTCCCTATGTCTGCGTTCTCCTATCTGCAATAAAAATTTCCGTACTTTAGGAATAGTTAGGTCCTCCCCCTTTTATTTAATTTTTTTCATTCATCTGCCTCAGCTACTTCATCCACACACCATTTGGAAAATCTATGTCCTTCTGAACGTTAACAATGGAAATGCCGGATTTTGACAGCTGACCGAAAGAACTGCAAATGAGGCTGGCTGTAGGTTGTGCTTAGCTTTGTAAAGTTGAATATTTCCGAGAAAGTGGACTATCTGGTGGCGAATATGTCTAGACACAGGAACAAATCTGGTGAAATTTCCATCAGTGTGATTGCCTTCAGGATTCCGATCTTCCGGGAAGAATTAGCATGCAAGGCAGACAGAGACCAGCCCGAGTGGCACATTATGAGGTGATGTAGACACTGCCTGGGTTAGTAGAGTTGGCACATAGCTACAGAGCAAAGGCTGTCCTGTTTCAAAACAGTCTAATTTTCTGCTGCGAAGGTCTCTATGTACTGTCTAAAAACTCTATGTACTGTCTAAAAACTGTCTATTAACTTTTATGATAAAAGTTAATCATTTGATAAAATTTGGTGACACTTTTTCTTTTCTTATTTCACATCTGCAAGCGGACTAAAAATATAACAAATCATACAGTTTCATCTGCTTAGAAAACCATCTCCCTTTCATTCCCATTGTTAAGGGCTGTTTATCTTCTTTGCCTTTGACCGACCAAGTTCTCCCCAGGGTGAGGGGCAGAGCTTGAGTTTAGGAAACATTTCCTTTCTGTTACACAAAGAGATTTACATTTCAATACTTTGGAAGAAATTGAGATAGTGGATCAGGATTGCTGCTGGTGAAAAAATCGTGTTGCACCCTGGTCTTAAAAAAAAAAAAACATTAAAAAAAGACAGTTGTAATTTTTAGTTTATCAACCATCAACTAATCCTGTTCATTTCTTAGACCTGCCTCTCACAGAGCAGATTTGCTGTGTTGGTGGCAGGGATGGAAGCAACAAATTCCTTCAGTTGGAAGATACCAGGTGTCTCCTTCACTGCG